AGATAACCATTGAAATATTGATATGCATAAAACCTAGTGGATAAAGAGAGAAAAAAAAACACAAAAACTTACAAATCAGTTAAAGGTTTCACACAAATTGCGAGTATCAATCACATTCTTGAGAAAAGAAAGAACCTATAAATTCCTTTTAGTATATGAGCATAAATATTAAACTTTTGAGACAAAATGTTCATTTTTGTTCTCTTATTCAATAATTTACTCGATATGATAAGTGATAACACGAGTCTAAAAGCATCCGTATCAATGATACGGAGTGGATCTCAACCCATTAAAAAGCAATAAAAAATTAGGCTAAATGAAACTTGGGCTTTATTCGTCTCACCCCTCTGAATCGCTTGAGTCGTCTCATTGTGTATAGTAGACACGTGTCGCGCATGAACCGTTGGTTTTTATTATTAAAATTAATAATAAATTAATGTTAAATGATACCCAATCAATTTTATCTATAATGATGGTCTAATGAGTTGTAATGGAATACGTAGCCTTAATATAAATGATTTTGGATGTCATATTTTTCCAATCTCAATCAATAATAAATACATCTGTTTATTTTTGGTGACGTGATGATTAATTATGTCATATATATATGTAATGATTTGGTGATCATTATAGCTAGGTTCATTATTTTTATTAGTTTGTGTTACATCCATCCAATAGTATTTTACTATTTTCTTATAAATAATTGCAAATTTTACTAACGGAGGATGATGATTCAAAACCGCCAATTCGACCAAATATTATTATTATACAAACTTCAACAAAACAAAATGTTTCCTTAATCCAAAAATATACATTTTAATTAAGGCCCATTAGACCAAATATTATTATTACTAACGGAGAATGATGATTCAAGTTGAAAGCTTTGTTCAACGAAACAAAATGTTTACTTAATCCAAAAATATGCATTTTATACCCTTTAAGTTTACCAATCAAGTTTTTTATAAAAAAAAAAATTCTAGCAACAGAAAAAATATATAATTATTTTTAAATATTCCCCTTATTTTTAGGCTTTAGAATCGTTGCGGCTGCTACGAATCTTACGAGTCACGGACTTACGAACAACACTAAACCGAATACAACCCGATCGGTTTGGTTTCTAAATTGTAATCAGTTGGTTTAATATTCTGGTTTCGGTTTCGTTCTCTTGTTATATTACAGTCTCTCTGATAAAACACAGAAACACTTGCTCATCACGTAGCACAAAATTTTCAACATCTCTCGATTTTTTCTCTGTACCTGAAAACCTTTCAAATCTCCGGTAAATTCCTCTCCACGAGAACTCTGTTTTTTCATTTTGTTTTTGTTTTCGCCGGAATCT